AAAGGGAGTGGGGATTCTTCAAATAGCTCCAAAGCTCTTCATATCTGCAAAAGTTTCAGATTTTTTATTTCCATCCCAGAGTCCTGGACATTTCTGGATGGAACTAGCATTATGAAACCTCTTGAAAGTATGGGCTCATCCCTCTATGCCACATAAAAATGTGAATATGAGGCACATGGATTAGAAAGTAATACCGAAACAAATTAGGTAAAAGTTGAAATACATTATGGAGTAAAGTAGGACAAAGTAATAACTACCACCAAAGAGTATATACTTCTAAACAAGAAATTAAGGTAAGTAAACAAGAAATAAATAATCAATACAGGGGTATAAATATAGGAGAAAATTTTATATCCTTTAAAGTTAAAGCTCTTCACTCTCAAGGAAGATATTGATGTTGCTACTCAATTGTTTTATATATGCACTAAAGTCTTACATTTATATATGAAAGTGGTAGAAGACAGCACTCGGAGGCACCGCAAGCTCTTTTCATTACACAGGTGGATTTGGTTTCCTAGAATGCTTGATGATGACTTCAAGAGGGCTTTAGCTCCAGCAGGTTTTATTGGCTCTGGTTAAACTCATTTCTTCCTTCTTGCCATTTTGTATTGCATCTTTATCAAGTTCTTATTTGATAAACCATACTTAAACACAGCATATCTTAAAATGATATGTTCATTGATGTTCATTTCATTCTAACATCAATGGAGAAATTATGCAGGAGGAATGACAAAAACAAGCTTTAAACTCAGGAAATGAAGAAAGCATAAAAAACCAGGCAACATAACGATCATATGCCATGACTGTGAGAAGAAAGAAATCAGAAGCTATAAAAGAAATAAAGAAAAAGATTTGAGCAGCACAACCAAAATAAGAGATGCATCTGTTGTCCATGAGAGAATTTGTCATGGATTTGGGGACAGTGACTGAAACAATGCCCACAACCTGTAGAGCCAAATTCATGAGAAAGAAGTACATGGGGCTGTGTGAAGTTGATGGTTGAAAGCTACTGCAAAGATGATGAGAAGATTTGTTGTTACAGTTGCCAGATATAACACAGAGAAGAAGAAGAAATGCAAAAGCTGCATATGTCGATTTTTTGAGAATTCCAGGAGCAGAAAGTAAGGCATTTGATTCCCATGTTTCATTTATGACAAAGCCAACATAACTGCAAGTAAGGAAAAGAGGGAGATGCAATTAGATAAAACAGAAAGCATGGAGCATGGAATACATAGATGTAGGATGAGACTATTCTTATCAATTTCTATTGATAAGAAACTATTTACCTGTAGTCAAGAACCAACTACCATCCTCACATTTTTTCTTCTTTCCTCCTTCCAACTTTGTTAATTCATCAAAAGGATTTCCTAGGATTAGGAAAAATATTTTCAAGTCAATTTTCAACCATGGAAGGCTACTGGGAATTTTTATACCAGGCACAATCTCTTGCAAGGAATACTCAGTTGTGGTAGTGTTGGAAAAATTGTGGATATATTCTGTATGCTTTATTCTTCTAGAGGAAAGGGAATGTAAATCTAGCAAATAAATATAACAATAAATTGTGATGTCTTTTGCATGGAAATCTTGATGGCAGAAATTGTCCCTTTTATAATATATTTGTGTGTGTGTGTGTGCGTGCGTGTATGTGTGCATGTCTGTTTCATGTTTCTCATTTGCCCTAGGAGGGAAAATAGCACAAAACCTGTACAACAGTATTGTAGCACAACTGCCACTCCTGTTATATACAGACTAAAATATCCCATTTACCGTACCTTATGGCGTATAAGACACACCTTTTCCCCCTAAAAGAGGGTGGGAATGTTGGTGCATCTTATCGATTTTTTTGCCTCCCGGAACCCCCCCCCCCGGTGTGTTCCGTTTTGCCAAAAATGGACCTGTTTTCCACAAAAATGGGATGCACAGAGGGTTTGGCAGGCCTGCACTGTGCTCCTGCGGGCTGGGGAGGGTAAAACCTTTTTTTTTTCTTGTTTTCCTTTCAGGAATCTTAGTGTGTCTTATACTCTGAAAAATAAAGTATATATGAAAAGGGTAGAAGAAAGCCTTTCATGGCACTGCAAGTCCTTTCCTTTGACCGGTCCATATGATTTCCCAAGACTGTTGATAATCTAAAGAGGGTTCCAACTCCAACAGGTCTTATTGGCTCTAGTTTAAAAAAATGATAAGAGGTCTGTAGGCTAAACTCTATGATGAACAGTGAAGGGAACTAGGTATGACTAATATAATAAAGAGAAGGGTTAAGAGTGCTATCATAGCTGTCTTCCAGTACCTGAGGGGACTGTCACAGAGAAAAGGGGGTTGATTTATTCTGTAAATCATCTGAGGGCAGGACAATAATTAACACGTGAAAGCTCATTAAAGAGAAATCCAACCTGGAACTAAGGGGAAATTTTGGGAAGGGGCTTGGAGTAGAAGAACTCCAGGGTTCCTTCCAACCAGTGGTGGGATGCTGGTGGGTTCTCCCGGGTTCTTGCATACCAGTAGTGGAAATTTTGAGTAGTTCAGCAAACCAGTAAATACCACCTCTGCCTGGCTCCGCCCCAATCTATTCGCTGCCTCCCGACGCCCAGCTGATCAGCTAGAAGGAAAAAAATCAGTTGACAAAGAAGAGGGAAAAAACCCCAAAACACCGTCACTTTAATTTGAAAAGCCAAGAAGCCTCCCAACTGATCAGCTAGAAAGAAAAAATCAGGACTTGCTTCTCAGCCAGGAGATCACTTGGCAAAGAAGAAGGGGGAAAAGGGGGGGGGGGCGTAGCTTTAAATTGACAAACCAAGAAGCAGCTGCTGGAAGGAGGTTTTTGCTTGCAGAAGCGAAGTGACATTCAGCAGTTCATTTCTGGGTCAGCTGAATAACAAACTGAATAAGAGAAGGGATTCTTATATGGTTCTATATTTTTGAAGTTTTGGAGTTTGTGCAACATGGGCTTTGTGTTTCTAAAAAGGTTTGGGCAATTTTCAATGTGAAATATCCTGTCTTGAATGAGTTTTCTGCCTGCTTGTAAATGAAGCCGAACTTCCGACTTCCACTTTCTATTATCTCTAAGCACCGGGTAGCTGTTTTCTTCTTACAAAGTTTCCTTTATGCAGCTGACAGGAATGTGGAATGAGTATCAGGCAGGTTCCTTGTTAGCAGCTTGATTTTTCCTTGCTTTTCTGGGAGCCTTTTCTTATGAGTAATATTTTATTTGGGAAATGAAGAGGTGGGAGTTTGATTCCTTCCCAGAGCAAGTTAGTGCGGTGGGGAGGGAATGGGGATTTTGAAGTAACCTTCCTCTGGAGTGGGGAAGGAATGGGGATTTTACAGTATCCTTCCCCTGTCTCGTCTGCCACACCACGCCCACCAAGCCACGCCCTCAGAACCAGTAGTAAAAATTTTTGAAACCCACCACTGTATAAGTCATCTTAATATGTTATTCCTGGTATGTGATGTTTTCTATACATACAGAGAAAGAAGCACTCTTGTAATCTTTGACTTTTAGGCTTGCTGTCAAACATTGGGCATAATACTAACGACTGTTTTGAACAATAGGCAGGTTGTATTACACGAATGGCTATTTTATATGTGAAATTATGACTGAAATATTTCTACACCTACATTGGTTCACACTGTCAGGAAGTTTCTCCTTAGTTTTAGGTTGCTTCTCTCTTTGTTCAGTTTCCATCCATTGCTTCTTGTTTTGCCTTCTGGTGGTTTGAAAAATACATTGTCCCCCATTCTTTCTGGTAGCCCCTTAAAAGCCTGTTGCCTATCACACTCTTGGGCAAAGTATGTGAGCCATTTCCTCCTTTCAGTGGTCCATGAAAGTGCATCTATAGTATGTAGATAATAAAGTTGAAAAAAGGTGAACAACATTTTTACAGAACTATAGATACATTGAGGCTGGGTGTGACAAGGAATGGCTGGGAGGGGAGGGGCCAGGCGAGGCACCCCTTGACATGAGTAACATTGAGTTGGCCACACCTACTAAGTGACATGACCATCAAGCCACACCCACAAAATAAGCTGGTAGTAAAAAAAAATTAGAACCCACTCCTGCTTCCAACCCTATGATTCTATCATTCTAAGATATCATCCTGGTGTGCAGTACATCTATAAGATATTGGACAAGATATTCAGATATTGGACAAGGCTGGGAGCATACATTATCTCTTCCAATTTGTATAAAGTTGTAAGGTTCCTAAAAGTTTATATAACATTCTATTACAATTATGCATCATTCTATACATTTCTTGCCTTTAGTTATTAAAATATTTTGTGACATAGTACCAGTACATCCATGCTGGCCATGATTCCAGTGTCTGGTCTGGTGAAAACACTTCTAAAAGATTAAAATAATACCCAGAAGCTAAAGCGTGTGTAAAGCTTCTAAATATGGTTAAGGCATAAGACTAGAAAACAGGAAATTGGAAATTCTCGTCCACCTTATTAATGAAGTCAGCTGGGTGACTACGGGAGTGTCTTTCTCTCCCCCCCCCTCCTAGGAAAGAGAAAATGGCAGATCACTTCTTAAAATCTAACCAACAAAAATTCAGGACGTTTCCAATTTCAATGGTACAAAATATCAAAATCTGTAAGCAAAGGACAATATAAGAAAAAGCAGTTATAGAGGCCTGCATATTGTTGGAAAGAATAAAGATTTAACTGGTCATATTATGGGCCACCAATAAAAGGGGAACCATTTTATACATTGATCTTCACATCACTAAAGATCAGGTGTTCTCAGCTTCTGGAAAGCCACAGCTGTCCAAGATTCACATTTAACATCTGTGAAGTGTATTAGCAGTAATGAGGGATGGAAAATATTGGCTGAAGAACTTCTGGAATTCCACTATTCATCTGGTTTGTGAGGTTGGATTTACCCCCATTTCATCTGTATCTCCCTTTCTAACATATTCCCTTCTACAGATAAGAAAAAGAAAAGACAAGAGAATATAAAACTGTAGTGAATAGAATATTTAAAAAAAAATAAAAAGTTTTTTTCAGAATCTCCACAATTTAGAAAGGACAAATCTAATATTCTTATTTCTCATACTATACATGATTGGATTGAACAGAGGCGGAAGAATAGAATACATAAGAGTCAATCCAAAATTTAAGTAAGTTGGGGTGTCAGAGGAAGGTCTCAGATAGCCAAAGCATCCAGTTAAAAAAAGCATAAATACTACTGTGAGGTGGGGCATACAAGTGGATAAGGCTTTTTGCCTTCCTTGTTCAGAAGGGATTATTAGCACTGCCTTGAAAATCATGGCATAAGATACAATAATAAAAGTAAAACAACCTAGTCCAACCAAGCTATGGACCGCGAGAACTCCAATTTCAAATTGATTGAAGCCATAGCAGGATAGTTTTAGCAACTGTGGAATGTCACAGAAGAATTGGTTGATCACATTAGAACAAAACAGGACTGAAAAAGTGCCAGTTGTATGTAAGATTCCACAGACAAAACCTGAAACCCACACAAATATCATTACTTCAGTGCACACTTTCCAATTCATCATTATGTGATAATGTAATGGATGGCAAATGGCAACATAACGATCATATGCCATGACTGTGAGAAGAAAGAAATCAGAAGCTATAAAAGAAACAAAGAAAAAGATTTGAGCAGCACAACCAAAATAAGAGATGCATCTGTTGTCCATGAGAGAATTTGTCATGGATTTTGGGACAGTGACTGAAACAATGCCAACGTCCTGTAGAGCCAAATTCATGAGAAAGAAGTACATGGGGCTGTGAAGTTGATGGCTGAAAGCTACTGCAAAGATGATGAGAAGATTTGTTGTTACAGTTGCCAGATATAACACAGAGAAGAAGAAGAAATGCAAAAGCTGCATATGTCGATTTTTTGAGAATTCTAGGAGCAGAAAGTAAGGCAGTCTGGTTTGATTCCCCATGTTTCATTTATGACAAAGCCAACATAACTGCAAGTTAAGAAAAGAGGGAGATACAATTAGATAAAATATAAAGCATGGAAAGAATAACCAAAGGATCAGAGCATGGAATACATAGATATAGGATGGGATTATTCTTATCAATTTCTATTTACCTGTAGTCAAGAACCAACTACCATCCTCACTTTTTTTCTTCTTCTTTCCTCCTTCCAGTTCTGTTAATTCATCAAAAGGATTTCCTAGGATTAGGAAAAACATTTTCAAGTCAATTTTCAACCTGGGAATTTTTATACCAGGCAAAATCTCTTGCAAGGAATACTCGGTTGTGGTAGTGTTGGAAAATTGGTGGATATATTCTGTATGCTTTATTTTTCTAAAGGGAAGGGAATGTAAATCTAGCAAATAAATATAACAATAAATTGCGATATCTTTTACATGGAAAACTTGATGGCAGAAGTTGTCCCCTTTATAATATATTATTGTGTGGGGATGTGTCTGTGTGTGTTTGTGTTTCTCATTTGCCCTAGAAGGGAAAATAGCACAAAAAGCATTAAAACTAATATATAAATACTATGTCCCTAAACATGTATTTACTAGTATACAATTAAATAGAAGAAAGATAGAAGGTTACTTACAACATAAATCTTGTCTTAATATTCAATAGGTGATATTATAATGATCACATTGTAAAATATTTTAAATTAAAAATAAATCAGACATTAGCAGATGAATTAATAAATCTCCTCTTCCAACAATCAGAAGGAAAGTAAAGCTCAGTTTGAAGAAGCAGTATCTGTTTAAGCACAAACTACATTCCCTCCAGCAGAACGTGGGGAAAAAAATTACAGACAACCTATTATAACTATAACAACTCAGTATTCCTTTCAAAAATGCAAACCCACATCTCCAACAATAATACTTAATTTTTTTTAAAAAAAAAAAGACATTTAGAAATGTTACAATTTATTTCTTCTATTCAGTGATTTGAAATGATTTTGTCGCTGCTCATTTTCCTATCACTGATCTAATTTTCGTGTACTGAAACAGCAACCTGCAGTTTAAGAAGTTTCTATTCTGAATGTTTACTCATATCTGTTATGTATCTCTCAAGAGTTTTGTATACAAAAATAAAACTGACTTCAGTATGCTTATTAATATAATTGGCCATTAACAAATCCATAGATACCACAAAGTGATCCACTACCAGTATCACAGAGAATAATATTGTCTCAAAATGATATTAACAGCATTGGGGCTGCAGTCATACCAAGATTCCAAACATTGATAGATAATATAGCTGTTTAACTAAATAGACAGATAGATAGCAAGCTAAATGTAGCGTCCTCTGCCCCGTTGCCGCCAGCAACCGGGAGGCGTTCTGATTAGCTACTAAGATGACAGCTCTCTTGGTGGGAAGCACAGGCGTTTGTTATTGGCTAGACCTGTCTGACAGCCAGTATATAAATAGCGGCTCTGTTGTAAATGTTTTCTGAAGCGTTCTGGTTACTTGTGTTGTTAACAATAAATCAGTTGTGTTGAGTTAGTCTCGCCTCAGTCGATATCCATGCACAGTTTACAAATATAACACTGGCGACGAGGTTTTGGGGTGACTGAGGAGACTCAAGGTATGCAACCATTGTCCCTGCCGCGCTACGATGTCTACCCTGGCCACATTCGCCTGTTTCAAGCCTGCCACAGAATCCTGGGATGCCTACATGGAGTGTTTTGAATGCTTTCTCCAGGCAAATGATTATGCTGGGCTCTCTAGTGACAGGAAACGAGCCCATTTCTTAAATTCCTGTGGCCCTGAAATATTCACAACTGCCCGGGCATTGATGGCACCTCAGCTCGTATCTACGGTGCCCTGGGACGTTCTTTTGGCAAACTACGGGCTCATTACGTGCCAGCTCCGTCTCGCATTTCCTGGTGGTACACTTTCCACCAAATCCTCTAAAGGGAGGGTGAATCCATTAACCAGTATGTGGCTTCCCTCAGATCCGCAGCGATTGAGTGCGAATTCCGCGATTTGGATGACTCCCTGTTGGAGCAGCTGGTGTGTGGTGTAAGGGACATCCGTTTGCAATGGCGTCTCTTAGCACGAATTGACATCACCCTTCAAATTGCTAACGATGAAACCTGTGCATCGGAAATGTCCAATAAGTTGACAGCTGAGATGCACCGGGCTCATACCTCATACTACTGTCCACTATGATGAAGAATTGTCCGATGGCACCACCGATGATGAAACTAAAATCCCTGCCGGGAAAGAGGGCACCAGGGAAGAAGACGCCACCAGCTACCTGCCTGGGTTGCAGCGAAAACCACCCCCGTTCCCTTTGCCATTTTAAATCTATCTGCCGGCGCTGCGGAAAAAAAGGCCACCTTGCCAAAGTCTGCCACACGTCTGCACCGGACATCGGATCTGCATCGGACCAACATTTCGTTAAAAGACCCCTGCGGGGTTCAGCCAGGCCCCGGGAGGATTGTTTCATGATTTTTCGAGACGACGCCCACCCTGTGGTGTCAACCACTCAGGGTTCCTCAGTTTTCAGGAAAAATTTTTTCCTCACAGTTAAGCTAGAGGGTGTTCCTTGACAAATGGAGGTGGATACAGGCTCTTCTAAGTCTATCATTGCCTGGACCACCCTACACAAGCTACTGCCTACACTACCTAAAAGTGTCAGCACTTCAAGTTAAATTCACTCCAGTGCTGAAATAAGAAGAGAAGAGGGGGCATCTGGCAAGATGACGTTGGACTTTTCACCTACTTATTTTCCCTGCAGATAATATCCCCTAGGAGATGGGATGGGAGAGGGGACATGCTTGTGAGGTGAAGTAGTAGAGATGGGGAGAGTGACTTGGAAGATGGCCAATGAAACGCTGAAAATTGGGGAACGGAAAGGGAAGGTTTTGGGGTCAGAGGGTTAGTGTCAGCTATGATGGAGTCGGGGACAGATCGTTGTACTCAATAAATGAAAGATTTCATCAAAGACTATTTGTTTGGAAATGCAATTTATTTGAGATGACATCGAAACCTGACAGATAGCCGACACTCCTTTCCAAGCCAAGCTGGCTGACTTCCAAACCTCCAGCTCCCTTCCCGATATAGGGAATGAGTGGATGCACAGTCCAGACGCCATGGCAGAAAGTAAACTGTCTGAGGAGAGCTTAATTCAGGCAACTGGAAAAGAGCCAGCCTTGATTCCAGCCACTTGGATGCCACGAAACCTCAATCCTCCCCTCCTCCAGCGAAGCTGCAAGACAGCCAAGGTCAGATGATCGTGCTACAAGCCAAGAAGATAAAGGATGAGTATTCGGGGGCTTAGCCAAAATCTGCAGAGGCTGAGTTTCCCTTCCCAAATGTGCAGGAGAAGGGGAAACCCCTAAGTGAATTGGGGAGGGCAGACTGGCTATGGGGCTGGCAGCAGTCCAGGCACCAAAAAAACTCTAGGGAAGCCACTCGAAAGCCCCATAGATGAATTGAAGGAGAAATTTGACTGTGCCATCATTTGGGAGGAGGGGCCATCATGCAGGCCAAAGGAGAAGAGGGAGCCAGTGTGGACTGCTGAACCGAGAGGCCATAGACTGAAGCACAGCCCTTCCCCCCCATAGCAGAAGGAGAAGGAGCCCAAAGATGCATCCATGGGTTCCTCCTTTACACAGCAAGCAGAGCAGCCTAGATAGGACATCACCTCCCTACCCTAGAATGAGAGATGGGGAAAAGGACCAGCAGCACCGAGAGCAGGCTTACAGAGCCCCGTATTGGGAGGATAGAGCAGTGAGGGAGGACCCACCCTGTTTCAGAGGGAAGTTCGATGGCGACCCAGACCAACTAGCCCAATTCCTCGACACAGCTGAGATCTACATCAAGTGCTATGGAGACCTCTACCCATTTCCCAGAGCCCTAGTTAGTGTCATTTCAGAAGGGCTGGAGGGAGAAGCAAGGAGGTGGTCAGCAGCCCTCTACAAGAACAGGGCCCCCCAACTGCAAGACACAGACGGGTTCTTACAACTATTACGAACCCGGTTCGAGGAGGCAGAGGAGGACCCCTATGTGGAGGACGAGCTCAGGAACCTAATGCAGAAGGGGAAGCCTATCAGAGAGCATATCCGTGAATTCAGGAGAGTCATTGGGACCCTACCTCCCTTACCAGAGGGACTACTGGTGTATTTCTTTAGAACAAGCCTAGATAAGCGAATTGCCCAAGTGACCGCTTATCAAGACATCCCAAACCGACTCTCTGAATGGTTCTGGGTAGCGATAAAAGTTGACAGAGGGCTGCGGGCCAACGACATGTCGAAGCAATCAAATAGCAAGGAGAGAGGCCAACCGGATCAGGGACCACCCAGTAGACGAGGAACTGCAACACCACAGCCCACCCAGAGGCCAGTCGTCCCATGGAGCCCACTGAGGTGCTACAGGTGCGGGGGGATTGGTCACCTGGCAGCAGTGTGTGGAACCCCTAGACCGAGGCCAGATCCACCGCCCAAGGCACAACTGGAATGAGGGCCCAAACGTGCCACCAACACACCATGGAAAGTCCCCCAGGGCCCAGAGGTCTTCGCCCACCTGACCAAAACAAGAGGGATCCCAGATGAGTGAAATCAATCCCCCGAATCATATGACAGTGAGGACAAGGGTGAAGACGACCCAATGGTGAGTGGACCCATCCACCCCTTTCTTTTCCCTATATGCCTAACAGCCCTGAAAACAGGGACCCAAGGGACTTTCCAAGCCCTAATAGATTCAGGCAGCACAAGGTGCCTGATTAACCTACCCACAGTCCTAAAACTGTGGATCCGAACTAAAAAGCTTAACCACCCAATCCGATTTGAACAAGTTGATGGATCCCTAGTGGGGGGAACTTACGCCACACACTTGATCGAGCCCATGAGGCTGGAGCTAGCAGATCACTGGGAAATGATTCGGTTCATAATAGCCCCCAAAATGACAGACCCAATCATACTGGGACTCTCATGGCTGGACAAGTGGGGCCCAATCA